TAGCCAATCCTCAAGCCTTTAATTAGAATTTCCCAAACTAAGTACTCTCCAGATGTATGGACTTCACTTCCCAGAATTCCCCAGTCAGTGTGGCCACTGCTGAGAATTCTGGGAGTAGAAGTTCACCCATCTGGAAATTGTTGGGAAACACACCATACAGGAGATCTCAAATTTAAGCCCTGTCTGTCCTTATGTTTCAAAGCAATTTGAGAAGCCAACATTTAGGATATAAATTCTAAGACTCAGGCTTGCTGGGCGGACGGTGGCAGTATTTTGTATAATCAGTCAAGTACTTTGAAATATCCTCAGAAGATGATGAGCTTTGATGAAATGCCTCGGTGAAGCCAGAAGACCACTGGAGGGCATTGTCTTTCTGGCGTTACATTAAAGCACACACCTGCCTGGGCATAATTACTTGTCAAACCTCTTCCTTTATTTCCTTTGCCAATATTTTGGAGGTAGATCTGTAAGGCCTGCCTGCACAGTACATGGGCAAAATTCTTCTCTGTCATTAGGCACTGATGGAGTTGCAAACATTTTTTAATAACAGGCTTCCATCTCCAAGAAAATTAAGAAGACATTTAGGACACCAGATTTACAGTATTTGATCTAATCTCTCTCCATGCTGATTATTTTGCAGAGAATAAGCTTCCTGGAGTCTTGTGTCACAGGCAGGCAGCCTTTTCTGAGTTGAAGCTCTCCATATGTGCTGGATTTCAGGTCCCATAAATCCCAGCCAACATGCAGGGTACGAATAATGGATGTTGAAAGCCAACACATTTGGGGAACATTGTCCAAGTGTATGGCTTTAGAGGGGAAAGGCTTAGATCTGGATTATGGACTCTAAACCAGGTATAGGCCACCTGAGACTTTTGGACTTCATAGAGCCTCAGAACCCATTTTTTCCCAGATCTCAGGGGCACAATTTCCTGCCATTTTGAGGACCCCCACACACAAGATTCCTGCCCAAATCCATAGGAATGAAAAGGCAGGTTTAGCTCCATGCATACATATCTCAAACCTGCTTGCTATGGCCCAGGACTCAGCCTCTGGCTCTGAAGAAACTGCTCCAGTTGAATCAGTGGAATGTCAGCCTCAGGTGACACCACCAGGAATCACCTGAGGCTGATCAAACACAAGTACCAACAGAACAGCTGGAGAAGTCAGATGATGGTGCACTGCTCACTGCAATCCTCATCATCCAAGGACAGAAGTGGGCAACCTTGTGGCTGCTGGGAATTGATCTTAATATTTTTGGAAACCTGATGATCACAGTGGGTGGGATGATGGTGCATACTGGGTAAAACTACTTTCTCCTGAGCTTGGGGAATTTTTTCAGAAGGGTTTTTCATTTTTGGAACTCTGTTAAACCCATTGTTGAATATGACAGGGTGCTAGATCACCCAGCTTTGCCTTAAAAAAAAACCCTGTAAGTTTGGCCTCTTGTAAAAAGATTATTCATCCATCTTCTAATTATCATAACTATCGTACTGGTTGTACCATGTTCCCTCACTTGGCTCACTTTGTTTGGAGTCAGAAGACTGGGACGTCAAAAAAATATCTCAAAAGAAGAGAATGACAAAGGCCTTCTCACTGCTGCTAAGAAAAGTGTGATGGAATTTGGAGTCTGACCACTGAAGAAAAAGGTTGCTAAGGATTCTTCTGCTCAAAAATGGTTCTAGGTTAATTAAATGATAACAGATACTCTAGTTAATTAGATGATGACATATAAATCTATCTTTTCCATCCTGTGCACCTTCATTTATGTGGTTTCTCCTCAACTTGATCCAAGTTATACTGGATACATCTGCACTTTTGGTTCCAGATCATCAGGGGAAAAATAAGGGCGTTGTGATAATTTCCTGGAAAAAAAATGACTAAGGAGACTTCTTGCTTTATGAACAATGATCTCTGATTAACATTTATGTGGTGCTTTTTAATAACTATCTAGGAGAACTTCCCTGATGTACCTTAAGGATCTCTTTCAACTAAATGGGCACTCCCCACTGGTTGAAGAACCTGAAACTATTTAAATATGTTGCACCAAATGATAGCTTTTTAACATTTTTTAAAATAATATCAAGTAGAATTAATATATTTTTACCAGGAACAGCTAAAAATGTGCAAGCAAGATCTGTCTAGACTTCCAGATTTAGGAGTAGATATGATCTAAGATCTAGTATAGAGGTGCTGGCCTGAAATTTACCATTTTTCTTTTCTTAAATCAAAGTTTTATCTGTGGTTTATTATGTGGGCAGTTTTTCTGGAAGATTAAAAAAACAGAGAGATGACTGGAACAGGGCTTAGGAGACTCAGTTGCACACATACGCACCCTTCATTCTCTGGCTTACTATCATCCCCCTCTTACCTGGCTGTTGACCAATTAGATCTAACCATCTTTAAAATTTGCCACAAGGCTCAAGAGCAAAAGTCAAATGCACTGTGGGGAATTTAAACTAGGTTGAGCCACTTGATCATAACTGATAAGAAAGGTGGAGGTAGGATCATTAGGAGGGGGCTCAAAGACGCCAAGTGCTGACACTCACCCCCTTTAAGTGTGCTCAGGGAGGGTCACAGCATTTTAAAAAAAGTCCCTGCAAATAAACAACTGAGATGTCAGCAAGCAAAGTGACATACTAGCCTCTTTTCTGACATCTAACTCTCAATATGAAAAGAAATACTAAAAGGAAGGAAGGTTATTAAGGTATTTGCTGTTCTTGAGTCTGATCCCATAATAAGAAATAAGGCAAAGCCTGGAAACTTACGAGCCATCTATACCGCTAAGATGAAGTGGCAGATTCAAATGCTCCTCCCCACTAAGAAACTAATAAAAAAAAATATTCTACAAGCGAGAAGATTAACATTTCAAGGGGACCAAGTACAGTTTGAATCCTTTCCCACTGAAACCCTAGTTTCAGTGAAGAGGAAATTCTGCAGGCTTTCTCAACTGTGGGCTTATGATATTGTTAGAATAGAAGTCCTCTCAGGGGTGACTCTTGGCTATGATAACTGGTGATGTGAGGACTCATTTGGAAAAAGCTGGTTCAGTCTGGGTTGTGTGAACCAACTGGTAAATTGTGGTACACATCAGAACTAAGCCAAAAAATCACATTTTTTCCTATTCTGCCTGGGTAAACTGGCACAAAATTATGTTTCATCAACCCAGTTCTAAGCAGAAGTCTGGTCAGTGAGTTTTGGATCACAATGTCCCTTAACAAGTCAGACCTTTAAATAGTCTATGCATTATATCAGCAACATTAAAAAGGAGGGAGGAATTAAATAAAAGGGGGGGAAACCCTATCTAAGCCCTTATATCCTCACCACCGAGTCTCAAGAGAGATAGAAAGTTATTTCCTCTTATATTCTGAGTTTTCTGAGTAAAGCAAATAGAACTTTTTCTTCCCCTTTTTAATCAAGAAATGCCATCCAGCTCAAAAGGAATTCTTTATACTGATTTTTTTTTCCATCAGTCCCAATCACAGCATTTGTCAAGGGCTGCAGTTTAACTTCAGTTAAATTATTATTGTTTCGAGTGGACTCCTGAATTTGTGGTATCAGGGTGATGGAAAAAGTCAACCCTGTTTGAAATTTTAGGAGGATAGGGCCCTGCAAAGTTTGAAAACCCTTGTTTTACTATGGTTTTGGACATGTAAGCACATGCTATTATGAATTACTTTGAAGAGCTAACACAATAAATTATCATCGGAACTGGCTGTTGCCAGGTTTAGGTAAAGCCCCTGGGCAAATCTGATCAGAAATATGAAACGGGAATGCCCAGACCGGGTTGGCTCATCATTTCTTCCTTCCATTTACCTCCATCTTCTTATAACCCTTCTTCCTTATTCTCATCATTGCCACTTTCTACATCCCCTCTAAACACGTGCTCTTCAGGTTCAGTGCCCTCAGCACATGCTCCTTGCCGTCCTCCCTCACTCTCCCCACACATGCGACAGCACCTTCTACTCCAGCAGAAACGTAGGTGAAAGTAGCCAGAACATGCTATTATGAAAAGAATGGAGGTGAAAGCCAACCCCCATAATGCCATCCGTTTTTCGGCTCTGCCTTTCAGGGCACATTCAACAGCTTCAGGGCAACTGACAGCTCCCGGGGAGCAGATCCAGGAACGCCCAATGAGCCTGGGCATTTGGAGGAGAATTATAGCACACAGAAAGCAGGTCTCGCTAGTTAGGAGAAGCCCCACCCAGATGTCAAAGAGAGGTATGCCACAGATGTTTGCGATGATCACCTTGGCATCATCCTGTGGTCCAGGTATAGATTCTCTGTAATAGCTGGACTCAGCACAGTGGCCTGGGTCTGTCTGGGGTGGGGATGAGGAGCCCACGTGGCATGGATTATTCTCAGGGCATGTACATGCACCATCACCATGGCAAGATAGAGTCGGTCCAGTGACCATGCCAAGCCCAGTCATGACTTTATTTTTGTCAGTGGGTCTGCAGTTGGAATCATCAGCCATCCGTGGTTGGGGGTATATCTTGCTGCCAAAGCCCACATCACTCCTAGCAGGGGCATCAAAAGTTAATTGCTGCTTGGTTCTCATTTTACTTCCTGGAACTGGCCTATGTTTGATGGCCATGTTCATGTCATCCAGCCTAGGAGGGACAGTCATCTGGTCCACGTGGCTTTCTGGGATTGTTTTACATTTGGTTGCCATGCTATATTTGGTTTCTTCATAGTATCTGGGGATCATCTTGCCTTTCCCAGTGTATGTTCTACCCATAGTGTATGCATAATCAGTAGAGTCACCGTATTCTTTAGGGCCTCTATATCTCTGTTGAAGACCCTCATGATTTTTGTCCTCTGACCAACGAGGAGGTATTTTACCTTTATATGAAGAGCTGCTCATGGGAACAGATACATAGTTGGTAGGAGCATTGTTGTACTGTGTTTCATTAAAACAGGATGCAACATTGGTTTGTTCTTTAGGACTTTGAATGGGAGACATTCCATATTGATCTGTTTCAGGGCAATAGGTGCTCATCTTGGTATGTTGCATATCTGTTGGGTATGGATTAATTGTCTGTTGAGACATATCATAGCAGTGGTCAGGCATTTCAGAGGTGTCAATGTATCCAGGGTGACAGGGCATACCATATTGTTCTGCTTCATATGGTCCCAAACCAACATTGGTACCATGTCCTCCAGACATGTGGGCCATAGGTATGCCATCCTGATCACTCCGATTATGCCAAACATTGTGGTTAAAATGTCGGGCATAGTAGGATCGGGGACCACGGGGACCATAGTGTCTTGGAAGACCACGACGTCCAACCATATAGACAGTGGATATGTCTGCACTGGATCCATGTGGTACAGTGGCAACCATAGCTACGCCTCTGCCATTATTATTCCCACTGCTGTTGCTGTTGTTGTTGCCATTCTCATTCTCATCCTCTTTCTTTTTCTTTTTCCTGGGGCTGGTGAGCCTCATGAGTCCCACCAGGAGGAGCACAGCAAGGAACACCACCCCCCAGGTGGCTGAAACTGAGACTGGGAAATATTGGTTCTGGCACAGGGTTGCGCAGAAGTCCCGTGACTTCTCTTCCATTGGGGCTATCCAATTGCAGGCCATGTCCTGCTTCATCGAATCCCAGGGCCCATTGGAGAAGAAGATGGCCACAATGCGGAGGCCTGTGAGGAAGTACCATGGTGCTACACCCTTGCACTCGAGTACACCAGAGAGGGATGATAGCAGTGGCCGGAAGAAGTGGATAAGACCCGAAAGGATAATGGACATCTGTGAGGGACAGGAAAAACACAAACAGAGAAGTTATTCTTAATTTAGGAACTGACCTAGCAGGTTACTTAGATCAGCACAACGGTTTGGCTTAGCTAGGCCCCTGCTCAGGGCTTTGCTGTCCAAGGAACCATCTCACCCAAAGTAAACTCCTTAAACCTGGTCAGCGTATTCATCCACCATGAAGCAAGGTGAGCCACATAAAGCTGAAGAAGGTAGAGGATGAAGCCTATTCTTGAACAGCCTGCCCCAACCCAGCACCCTCCACATGGATTGGGACCATAATTCCATAATTTGTGGTGGCTGAGAATTCTGGGTGCTGTAGTCCTAACTCATCTGAAGGCTACTGTCTTGGGGAAAGCTACTGCTAATCTGTTGCTGTGAACTCATTCACAGACTTCCCTTGAGCAATCCCAGATCTTGCCTTGACATCAAGAGAAGCAACAGTCCATTTTATGGCTTAGACAAGATATTTTATCAGTCCTTAAAAAATAATTCTAAATGACCCCAGAAGATTTGTATTCCCACACAGACTCAAGCACAGCATGGCTTTGACAACATGTGATCTACATTGGCCTTTCCTTCCTTTGCTCCCTTCCTTTGCTCTTGAACTACAGGCCATTCCTTCCTTTTCACATATTATTCTATTTCTCATCCTGTTTCTTCCATTTGTTTTTCCTTACCTTCTGAGTTAAATTACTATGTCAGGAGTACCTTTAGAGGAGGTTTAAAAAGTCCAAAAAGTCAAGATGGTGGCTGCACCTGTGAAATCAAAGCCCTGCTCCTTTTCTCTATAAAAAAATCATGTGGTTCTGGTTGCCATCTTGACTTTGTTGACAAGTCCCAGTGGATGCTTCTGCTATCCACCTCTCCTGGAGTTAAGGAAAAACTCTACCAGGATAATATTTGCTACCCCCATTACTGATCTTTTCCAGCCTCTATCGTTTTTGTTCTAGTTTGCCTCCAGTTAGAGGAGCCTTGATTTATTGAGCACAGAGCATGTTAAGGAAAGTTATTGGTGGGTTTCTCCAGCCCTCCATCCTTCCCTCTGGAAACATCGCCAGTTGGCTGGAAAAGATTCACCAATCTTGATGGCAATCTGTTTACTGGCTGGTGTGGTGCTTCCATGGTGATCGGCAGACTGTGGGGAGAAAGCATGAACCCACATGCCTCTGTTTTACTGCGCTTGCCAGAGAACATGGGTTTAATGGGCTGTCACAGCTCCATATATCTGCTCAATAGACTAGCAGCCCTACAGCCGTGTCCAGCTCTCTCAGCAGGAAGGAAAAGCAGAAAGAGAACATGTTTGTAGGAGCCCAAAGTGGCCCATAAGCGTCAAGATGTTCCCACTCCCCACCGGCCAGTAGCTCCCTGGATTGTACCACCTCCAGCATGGGTAGCAAAGCGTGTCAAATTTTACAGACCTTGAAACAGCTGTTGGATGCGGTCAACAGAAGGAGAAAACACTACTTTAACACTGGGCGTCCTTGAACAAGGGGGCAATATGAAACAACATCAACAAGACCCAGCAGGATAAAGTTGTTGCCAGGGAATTTTTGTACCATGGTTAGATGTAAGAGGGAAAAGCCCCTTCCCCCATCCTCTTGTTCTGATTTACTCTCCATGCTGGTCCAGAATCTCTTGTAACGTGAAAAGGAACGAAGCCAACGCTTTCCAAGTCTTTACACCACATGCACGTTTTTCCCTACCTCCATCTCATCTACTCCATTTACGACACCATCCCAAGGAATCCAACAGCATTTTATTGCTTCAGTGAAACATTTTCACTCCCCCCCTCAGTGTTGTTTCTTTTTCTTTTCTTCTGACTTGACATCATCATCCCAAGCCCAGCAATAAACTAATCTGCTCCTAAGAGAATATTCCATTCATTTACTTCTATTTCTGTTACTCCCTGTTCTCAGGCTGTTATTAGCCAGAACATTATAAAAGAATATGAGAATAAAACTGCTTTGTTAAGTTTAAAACCTGAACATCCTTTTTAGGAGGGAAATCAAAGCCAGCATGACTAATCCTCATTGCCTACACTGTGCAATGCATATTGGCGGTTTAGAGGTCAATGGGTGACATCCAAGTATAGAGGATCCTGATAATGTGACTGGATTACAGAGGATCTCTCCAGAGTGAAGAGAAAAGGAAAATCAGATCATTTCAATAAAAATAACTAAGACAATGATATATACTTTGGGGAATGAAAAAAAAATGAACCTGACCATCACCTAAATAAATAGGTTCCCTCAAAATAATCACAAACATGACACATGTTGCTAAGGGCAAGGGGAGGAATTCACTGAGCTTGACCCAACTAAGCAAAACATTTTAAAAAAAATCTTGAGTCATGGAGGAGATGCCCATGGAAACCTAATTTCAGAGAAGAGCTCTAAAAAAAACTAATTTATTCAGCAAAGGGATGAAAATAAAATGAAAATAAAATATTAAAAATATAATATATTGCAGTGATGTGGCTATACAGGTAGTCCTTGTTTAGCGTCTGCCTCATTTAGCAACCATTTGCAGTTATGACAGTGATGAAAAAATAACTTTGTGACCAATCCTCGCATTTACGACCTTCACAAATCTGTAAAGCAAAGGAAAGCTGAGCACATTCGCAGTTTCACTTAGCAACCACTTCGCCTAACAACTGACTTGCCAGTCCCAATTGTGGCTGCTAAATGAGGATTACCTGTATATATGGAAAGCTGCATAGAGTTACCTTTGACTGTTATTATTTATTAAATTTGTGTATATACTGCATCTCAGAAAGCATAGGAGAGCGCTTATCATCCTGCTAAATCCGCAATCAGCCACAAGTTGCTCTATTTCTCAGAAAGGATACAGACTGGTACACCCAAATTAATCCCTTAATTCTGTCCAATAGGCATGTATCAAAGATGACTCCTCCATACCTGTGTTCCTGGCTACTTGGGTTTCCCCCTCTTTTTTCATTCGTCCTCTTTTGAAGTCTGGTCCCACCTGCCAATAGATCCTGAATCGTGGAATGTATATTCCAGTTTAGAGGTTGCTAAACAACCTGCCAGCTAGACAAGAGCAGAGGAGAACAAGGCTGATGCATGATACTAGCTGGCAATACCCTGAGTCACGCCCCACATGCAGATCCCTGCCCCATCCAGGTAACTTAATGTCTCCTACCAATGCATTCCTCAGCCGCCCACGGGACATCTCAGGGTGTTACAGCAAAATTGAGGCTTGCCCTGAATGCCAGGCTGATTTGCTCTCCTTCACGGAGGGAAACACATTCAAGGAGATTTTGCAAAAGTGGGTCTTGCCTACACAGACCAAACCACAACAGCTCTGCCTCACACCTCTTATACCGATGAGGATGAAAATCCAGCAGCTGCTGACAATCAGAAAGATAAGGAAAAATCAGCCTCTCCTACAGCATCAAGTGCTCATGTCTCCCCTCTTTTAAGTCTTCCCCAAGCCCACGTTATTCGCAGCTTCACACCGCTAGTCAAAACCCGTTTGCTGGTGGAAGTGAAGAACCAGATGCTGCTTCTGTGCTTCATTCAAATGATGAACATGTAATTGCTAAAATGGATAAGCTTTTACTGAAATTTGAAACAGAAGAACAAGTGAAAGAATGTATGATAAAGTGGGCTAAAAATTTTGGTTGCAATATACAGATGGAACAATGGGAAAATATGTGGTTGGAAGGATTGAAATTTACACTATATTATAATCTTAAAAAGAATTTGTATAAAATGAGGTACCATTGGTATATGACACCAGAAAAATTATCCAGAATGTATAAAGGTACTTCAAATTTATGTTGGAAATTTGAACAACAAGAAGGGTCATTTTATCATGCTTGGTAGACATGTAAAAAAGATGGACAGTTTTGGATTCAAATACATACACTGATTCAGAGGATTTTAAAGATTAATATACAATTGTAACCAGAGGTTTTTCTTTTGGAATCGATGGACAAACAGTTGGAAAAAAATTGTGGAACTTTGTTTTTGTACATGACAACTGCAGCAAGATTATTGTATGCACAAAGATGGAAAGATTAACCACAGTGGAAGAATGGTTGGTGAAGACAGTGGAAACTGTTGAGATGGCTAAATTTGATCTTTGATCAAAGAAAAGACAATACCTACATTTATTGTTGACTGGAAACCCCTTATTGACTTTTGCATGAAACAGAAAAAAATGAACTTATGATTATGGTTTTGATGATTATACGAAGAAGAGAGGCATGTTATAACTATAGAGTAAGAGGTAAACTTATAATTGTACTTATAACTGCTGTAAAGAAAATCGGAAGCTACTTCTTGGTATGTTTTTTCTTTCTTTTCTATCTTTCTTTTACTTTTTTTCCCTTTCTTGCCCTTTCAACTTTCTCTTTGATTTCTTTCCTTTCCTTTCCTTTTTCTCACTTTGTATGAGTTTGTATTAGTTTTTGTTTTCTTTTAAAAAATCCTTAATAAAATTATACATACATACATAATACACACACACGCATATGAAAATCTTGCTTATTTCCTGCCTTGCTCTGGAGTGGCACTTCACTGATAGGAAATTAAAATGACAGATGCAGAAAGCTGTTAGTGATGAACTCTTGGAGGACTTCACAATGGAATTGGAGCTACCCAAGAACGTTAGATTTTGGTTCCGTCCATCCTGAATCTCCCAGCAATCTTCACTGAACAATCCCTAATTGTGAGAGGGGAAGTAAAATTTTCTCCTATCTTTTCTCTACACCGTTTGTAATTTCATATATTTCCGTTACGTCTTGCCTTCTATCCCATACAGTGGAACCTTGGTTCACAAACTTAATTTGTTCCACGACTCTGGTCGTGAACCGAATTGGTCGCGAACCGAATCAAATTTTCCCATAAGCTTCAATGTAATTACGGTTAATCCGTTCCGAACCATATGTATTTTTTTTTAAACCGCAAAAATATGAAACAAAGTACAGGACAGGACAGTATGAAGAGAGAGAACACTAACCTTGCTTGACGCAACTTCTGGCGTGGAGGACAGGAAGACGGGTGGGGAGGCGGTTATTGTTTGGAGGGAGT